TACCCATTATCAAGTTCCAAATCAAAGCAAAATTAAACCAAAAGTCTTAATTATCTAACAGCCACCAAAATATTACATAAGAACATAATGGGAAGAGGGGACAACACACAACAAAAAGCTGGTAAAGAAATCTACCTTAATGCAAGTTATTTTCTACATGGGGAAACAGTGATAGGACAAGGGGAAATGTTTTTAAACTAAGAGCAGAGATTTGGATTAGAAATTAGGAAAAATGTCTTTACTCCCAGAGGGTGGTGAGCAACTGGAACAGGTTGCTCAGAGAAGTTGTGGATGCCTGGAAGTATTCAGGGTCAGACTGGATGGTGCCCAGAACAACCTGGTCTGGTGGGAGATGTCCCTGCCCATGGCAAGGGGGGCTGGAACTAGAGGATCTTTAAGGTGCCTTCCAACCCAAGCCTTTCTAAGGTTCTGTGACTCCAAAGGGCTCACTTTTTCTTACAGAAAAATCAACTTTAAAAAAGAAATGGCTTTTATGGAACAAAGATCCTCAATTTTCTGCCTGCACACAAAGCCAGATGTTAGAATGAATACAAAGTCCCCTTCCTAAGATTGATTCCAAATAGGAACTCCTTAAATTTTCTTGAAAGTAACAAGAGTTAGCTTTCTGAGAGATCAGCAGCACTGCTGACAATGTTTTATTTATTGAAATCATGTTCAGCTCTGATCAAACAAAACCAAATTCACCATTAAAAACAAGCCCCAGATTCATGCTGACAACAAAGCTACAACACACCTTCTGTGTGTATTCCTCTCACAGTCATCACTATCCTAGAGATTACCTTCACAGCTATAAAGGTGTGGCTGTTCAGCACTCTGTGCTACAGGAAAACAAAGAAAAGCAAGATGCCCATGAAAGGGAGAGGACTCAAGCATCTTCCTTTCCCACAGGCCTGTCATTCCCCCACTGTGTTAGAGCTGTCAACAAGGGTAATACACATCTTGTAACAGCTGACAGCAAAGGCCATTTTACTAAGAATGAACACACAGACATCATGCTTTAGCAGTTAATACCATAACTGCTGCAGGTGCAGGTTCATGGCATCACTGCACTGAGCAATCCCAGGATGCAAACAACCAAGCTCCTCTTTTCCAGAACACTGACACCCAAAACAAACTGCTCAGTCAGTAATCTTTAACATTTCAGTCTCTCACCCAGCCTCAAATCCACCTAACACAACTCATCAACCTGAGAAAGCAATGGAAGAACTTTGGAATCAGGTGGGACACAGCACCTGGAAAACCACTGGGAACATGGGAACCCCCCTCTATGAGGAGAAAAGGAGAAAGCTGGGGCTGCTCAGCCTGGAGGAAAGTTGCATGGAGAGCTCACAGTTGCCATACAGTATCTGAAGTGGGTCTACAGAGAAGCCAGAGAGGGACCCTTTATCAGGAACTGTATTGATAAGACAGGAAGGAATGGATACAAATTCAAAGAGGAGAAATTAAGTTAGATATTAGGAAGAAATTATTTACTGTGAGGGTGGTGAGACACTGGAACATGCTGCTCAGAGAAGCTGCAGATGTAGTGTTCAAGGCCAGGCAACCTGGTGTAGTGGGAGGTGTCCCCGTCCATGGCAGAGGAGTTGGGAAGGGGAAATCCTTAAGGTCCCTTCAACCTCCTAACACTTTCTAGGAATAGCGGCGGGATGCAGCACCAGCAGCAGCTCTAGGGTGTCGCCTCCCTCTGCAGGAGGACTCTGCTGCTGCCGCTGCCGCAGGAGCCCGAGGTTCTCCCGCACGGAGCCGGCTGCCACTTCCAGGCCGGGAGGCGCGGCACTCCAGCCCGCCCGCCCGCTCGCCCACCTACGGGCCTCGTTCCCCGCCGCCCGGAAGGGCCGGTACCGAGCAGGCCGTGGCTGCCTCCTCCGGCCGGGGTGAGGACGAGCCGGGGAAGGCCGCGGGCAGCAGAGACGCGCTCGGTCCGAGCAGCGGGGCGCCTTTCCCCGCCCCGGTGCCGCCCCACCGCCAGCACGGCCCTCCCTCGATCCCCGGCCCGCTCGCCGCTCACCTGCGCCAGGCAGGGCCTGGCCCCGCCGAGCAGGCCCCTCCCGCAGAGCAGCTGCTGCAGCGGGGCCCCGGGCAGCCCCCGGCGGCCGCCGCCGCCCCGCGCCAGCAGCAGGTACCGGTGCGCCATGGCCGCCCGGACCCGCCGTCACCGCCGGCCCGCGCCGCTTGACGTCACCGCGCCGCCGCGTGCATTTCCCCTACGGCCGAAGGGCACACCTGGCCCCGCCCCCTGACGAGGCCACGCCCACATGATGGGTCACGCACCGCCTTCTGGCCACGCCCACCGCCGTCACCAGCGGAGCCCCGCCCGCCCTGGGTTTCTCAGGATGCCGGAATCCATCGGGTCGGGAAAGATCTCCGGGATCATCGAGGGCAGCCTGTGACCCAGCACCACCACGTCAGCTAGACCATGGCACCAAGTGCCACATCCCAGCTCTCCTTGAACACCTCCAGGGACAGGGGCAGCACCGCCTCCCTGAGCAGTCCGTTCCCATATTTGATCACACTTTCCTGAGGAATTTCTCCCTAATGTCTAAGCTGAATCTCCCCTGGCGCAGTTTGAAGTTACGCGCTCTTGTCCTGCTTGCTCGGGAGAAGAGACCGACCCTAGCCTGGCCAAAACCTCCTTTCAGGCACTTGTAGAGGGCAATAAGGTCACCCCCGAGCCGCCTCTTCCCTAGGCTGAACACTCACAGCTCCCTCAGCTGCTCCTGAGTTGTGCTCCAGACCCTTCACCAGCGTCATTGCCCTGCTCTGGGCACGCTCCAGCCCCTCAATGTCCTTCTGAACCGAGGGGCCCAGAACTGAACCCAATACTTAAGGTGTGGCCTCACCAGTACTGAATACAGGGGGGAAATCCCTGCCCTGCTCCTGCTGGCCACGCTGTGTCTGATACAGGCCAGGGTTCCACTGACCTCCTTGGCCACCTGGACACAGCTGGCTCACATTCAGCTCTGGCTGACCAGCACCCCCAGGTCCCTTTCCACTGGGCCACTTTCTCAGCAGTCTGACCGCAGCCTGTAGTGCTGCATGGGGTTATTGTGGCCAAAGTGCAGGACCCAGCATTTGTTTTTCATGCCATCGGTCCCAGCCCATCTTTCCAGCTGGTCCCCATCCCTTTGCTGACTCAAGGGTGTGGGTGAGTCAGCAGGGCAGGCTCAGCCCAGCCCAGCCCAGCCTAGGCTGGCCAGCCTCGCTGAGAAGGGCGGGTCTCCCTGCTGCCAGGGCTGGTTTAGCCTGCAGCAATGTTCTACAAAGCCTGTAGGTAGGAAATTAGGAAACCTGTCTCCTGGTTTTGCCCCATTATGTAAGGCATTCTATATCAACGTCTTTGCTGTAGAATGAGTCTGTGCAAAGTCCTCTAGGTGAACTCAGGCATTTGGTGTTCTCGCTGTTAAGGAAACATCCCAGTCTGACCATTCACAAGACTCTCTGTCACTCACATTCCCAAGGCCAGAGACTTACACTGCAGAGCCCGTTTCCAGCGGGCAGCTCCAGTGCATCCACAGGTGCCCCACTTGACCCCCCCTCACACAGTCAGGCCAGGTTTCCTTACTGGATTCACCCCACATTCCTCATGGCAGAGTCTCAAATGTCTCATTCCATAAAGCAATTTATTCATGGTGCAGTAACACAGAAACAGCCACAGCTCATGCCTCTGAGAAGGGAGCCCAACAAAGGAACCTCTAGCTTTTATACCCCCACAGTCCAAGCCACATGCAAACATCACTGTTACTCATGAGTCTTCGCTCCCTCAGTGTCCATTCACCTGGCTGGCACCACCAAAGGGTTGGCAGTTCATGGCCTCTTGTCTCAGGCTCCCACCGAGAACTCCACCTACATCTCCATCTGCAGCTTGCAAACCGAGCTACTGCCCCACATATATCCTCAACAATCCCTTCATCCCTGGGCACAGCCCTGCACATGATGTCCCTGTCTGTGTGTCACTCCCAAGGCTGTTATTGGGGTATTTAATCAAAACTCCTGGTTTGATTAAATCAAAACGCTGGTAGCTCACAGAGCCCCAGAATCACAAAATGAGAAAGGAAGGCACCACAGTGGCTCATCAGGTCCACCTCCCTGCTCAATCAGGGTCATCCCAGAGCACATGGCACAGAGCTGCATCCATGGTTCTTGAATATCTCCAGTAAGAGAGACTCCACAGCCTCTCTAGGCAATCTGTTCCAGTGCTCAGTCACCCACACAGTGAACAAGTTCTTCCTTATATTCAGTTGGACAGAGCTTCCTGTGCATCAGTTTCTGCCTGTTGCCTCTTGTCCTAATGCTTGGCACCACAGAGCAGAGCCTGGATCCATCCTCTGGGCATCCCCCACTCTAAATAATATAAACATTGATGGGGTTCTCTCTCAGCCATCTCTTCTGGAGGCTGAACAGCCCTAGGTCCCTCAGCCCTTCCTCCTCATGAGAGAGATGCTCCAACTCCATCATATTTGCACCTCTCCACCAGAGCTGCTCCGGGAGCTCCACGTCTCCTTTGCACTGAGCAGTTGGTGCTGAGGGTTGGTTTGTGAGCACCTGAGCAACACCAGTCAATGGTAATACAGAATTGCTTTCCCAGGATGCGCCTTTCCAGCACGAACTGTATCAGGGGAGGCTTAGGCTGGATATCAGGAAAAGGTTCTTTAAATAGAGGCCGGGTGAGCACTGCAACAGTCCCCAGGAAAATGGTGACAGCACCAAGCCTGACAGAGTTCGAGAAGCGTTTGGATAACGCTGTGGGCACACGGTGTGATTCCTGGAGCCGTCCTGTGTAGGGTTACGAACCAGACTTGGACAATCCCCCGTGTCGCGTCCAGCCCGGGACAGTGACACCGGGCCCGGCCGGCGCGCGCTCCTGCGCATGTGCGCTGCGTCGCCTCTTCCGCGGGCGCGGGAGGGGCGAGGCGATGACGTAGGCGCGTGACGCGCGCGCCGGCCCGGGCACGCCCCCCGCGCCCCTCCCCGCCGCCGCTCGCGCTCGCCGGGCCGGCGCGAGGCTGTCAGTCAGTCGGGCTCCGCCGCCGCGCGCTCTCCCTCGCGCCGGGCTCTGCGAGACGCACCGGGAGCGGCCATGAAGATCTGGAGCTCGGAGCACGTGTTCGGGTGAGGGGCCGGGCGGGGAGGGCTCGGATCGACCCCCGCGCTTCACCGAGCCGGGCCGTGCGGGGCGAGCCGGGTCCCGCCGCGGTGACGGCGGAAATGGCAATGCTGCGAGTGCGGGCGGAGGAGGAGGAGGAGGGAGGCCGGGAACGGACTCCGGTGGTGCCGGTCCTGCGTCGTTTCGAGCGCGGGCGGACCCCGCTCCTGGGCTTCTCCTGTCTCGGGAACGGCATTCCGACAGGATGGAGTGGTAGAGCTGGCCCCACAGCGTGGTGGCTTGGTGAAGGGCTGGGTGCTTAGGAAAAATAACTTTCACACCATAACTACAAATAAATCCCAAACTACCGATGTAGAGCCTATGATATATGTTCCAAGAGGTGTGGACGGAGTGACGGTGTCCCTTAGCCTCCGGTGTGCCGCTGTGTGCCCAACAGCCGGCTCTCAGTAAATGTTCTTTCCATCAGCGCTTTTCTGCATGGAACGCGGTCTGGCCTAACGAGGAAGCAGCAGGGAGAAGAATCGGGAGCTTGTAGCGAGCTGTCCCGGGAGCTGGCTCCCCACGGCCCGTGGCATTCCCGCTCTGGGGGTGCCACCGCCGGTGATTCCTCTGCTACAGGTGTTCCCGAGTCTTGAGGCCCGAAGAGCACTAACGTATTTACAAAATATCCCAGATGTGCTGCTCTGAGTTTCCTTAATTAGCTCAACGCAGCCGAATTCCTTGCACTGATGCAGGTACTCGGTGCTCCGCTTCAACACTGGTCTGGTGTAAGCGAACTGTGGTTTCTAGCAGGAAATATCAGGCAGAGGCTGCTCGAGCATGACACAACTCCCGAGTTTGAGATGAGTATCTGTCACCTAGGGAATGCAAAAGCTATTTTTATTTGACATTTTCTCATTAAGTTCTGTATTAGAATATACACGTCTTATGGCGTAATGTGTGTGGGTGTAGGTAGTTAGTTTGAATGGTTAATAAAATGTTGTTGTGCCTTATCAGCTCTCTGACTCAGTCCCTTAGGGACATTTAACAGAATTTTGTCATTTTCAGTTTGTGTATCTTCTGTTGATGGAGGTGTAAAGTCACCAAAGATGGAACAAGGAGCAATCCTCCAGCTCTCCTTCTGCTGCGGGAATTGAGGGCTCTTATTTCTCCTGCTTGCACCAGTAAAGACACTTTCTGACACTATTCTTGTTAGAAAAATAACCTATTTTTCCAACTTTCTGTTTGTTCTTGTAATGCTGTAGTGTCAGTGCCTTTCTGTACCAGTCTATTTTAAGACTAAAATAAAATCCATTTAGGGCCCCAAGTGCAACTCCTAAGTACAAGTTGGCACCCCTAAGCCTTCTTAAGTTAGATGCCAATTGTTGAATTTTTAAACATACCTTTAAAGGCTTTAAGGATATTATGTCAGGACAGTCAGTTATTCTGAATATAGAAATAATTAGGGACAGAAATTCTCTGTTGGATCAAGTCCATGGTTTCTGTAGCCTCCTCTGTTTCAGGAGGAAATATCTGAAGTACCTGAGAGCTGTGTGGACAGTCTGGCCTTGAGTAGCAGGACTGCTCCAATCTCAGGAATTGGAGGTTATCAAAATTTGTTTTGTAAAAACAGTTCTGAGACGAGCATCCATAAGTGGAATTCATGCTAACAAACTGCTGGAAGCAGTAGTGTAGGTGCAGACATCAGGCTGTGAGCTGGTGGGCTTTCTAAAAATCTGTTTCTTTATTTTGAACTTCCCAATCATCCTTTTTTTAATGGAATTTAATTTCACTTTGCCTTTTTTTTTTTTTTCTTTGCTATAAGAAGGAGGAGAAGCTAGTGATTCCCTCTTTAGTTTATTTGGTATGCTTAGAATTACAGAAAAACTTGTGGTGGAGTGGAACTCCTGGAGGTCATGTAGTCTAGCCCTCTTCTCCAAGCAGGGCAAGCTCAAGTGTTAGGTGAGGTTGCTTTCCTGGTGTTGTTCTGGAATGAGCTGAGATTCCCACATCTCTGTGGGCCCCACTTGGAATGTCACTTGTAGCAGTGAGTGACTGTTGCCCCTTGCCCTCATTTTTCTTAGTCTTGCATTAATAGTTCCTTGCTTCAGTCTGGAGAGAAGAATTTTTTTCCCTCTGTTTTTGTATCAGTATTGCCTTTCCAAGCATAACTGTATTCCAAAGAGACTTCTGGGAGCTGTGAAGCTGCACAGCCTGTCCCATATTGCACAACCTAAATCCTGATTTAGTATCATGGGATTACTTGCAATTCGATACAAAATACTTACAGATACTCTCCCCTCTTCCTTCCTCAGGCATCCCTGGGATACAGTGATCAAAGCTGCTATGAGGAAGTACCCCAACCCCATGAATCCCTGTGTGGTAGGGGTAGATGTCTTGGACAGGAGCCTGGATAACCAGGGGAGGCTGCACAGTCACCGCCTGCTCAGCACGGAGTGGGGACTGCCCAGCATTGTCAAAGCTGTACGTTTTTGCACCCTTCCTTCTTTAGTTAGGGTGGGATCCCTTTTATATCACCCTGTGAGCTGGAGCTGACTTTGAAATAAAAGCTGAAATTTGTGTGTGTCTGTCAATGCCTTCCAGGCTGGTCTGTGCCATGCTCTGTGGCTGATACAATCTAGACAATGAAGTCTTGCCACTGATCACAATCCTCTGATATCCATGGATTTGTGTTTATTTGGGGTCACTTGGCACTTTTGTGTTTTAAGGTTCAGTTTGTTTGTTGGATGTTGGTACTTAACATTTTTTTCCCCTTCAGATATTAGGAACAAGTAGAACTCTGACTTACATAGAGGAGCATTCTGTGGTAGATCCAGTGGAAAAGAAGATGGAGCTTTGCTCAACTAATGTGAGTGGTGGCTTAAGAAGTTTCTGGTAATTAGTTCTGGAAGTTGGATGTTTTGCTCTCAACGTTTAGATTAGAAGTGTAGCTGTGTTTTTTATTGCAGGCAACAATTTACAGTCTTAATCAGTGTTTTAGATGAGTCTTTTTTTCCCTCCCTTTTTCTTCTCCTAATTTAGATACTTCATCATCAAACATTTGTGATTCTGCTTTTAATGTAAGATTATTTCTCAGAATGCATGTAAAATAGTTTGACTTTTAGATGAATGAGTTCTGTCATTTCCAACAAAAGTTTTAATGTGAAATGCCTTTTTCATAGAATGTGAATGAAGCATTGTGCTATATTTTGGTATCCTGGTAACTCACAGATCTCAGATTTAACGTGGGCTTGTCTGTAGGAGAGCCTTGTCTCTGTACAAGAGGCCTTGGCCTTCCTGAGTATTAATTTTCTGTCTAATCCAGGTGGTGCTATGGGGGTCTGGAAGAGCCTCTCTTAACCACTGTCCATAAATCAGACTCAACATTCAGGGAAAGCTGTTGGTGCTCTGTCCTGTGAATGGGAACTTTGGTATAATTAGATCAAGGATAAGAGATGTGTTACCCTTTATAGGTCTTTTTATTGACTGTGTTCTGAGTTTTACAGTCTGTGTACAGTATTCTGACGTTAAATTGAGTGCTCTGCTATTGAGTATTGAGTGCTGTTGATAACAGAAAAATGAAAGGTGAGAAGTGAGGATTTCAGCTCTGTTTTTGTTCTTAAGATTACACTCACAAACTTGGTGTCTGTTGACGAGAGACTGGTTTACACACCTCATCCAGAAAACCCGGAAAAGTAAGTAGGGAAATTTGTGTGTGTCTTTGTATCTAGGAGACAATTTGTTAGTTCAGTTCAGCTTAGGTGTTAACCTTTCCTTATTGCCTTACAGGACTGTGCTAACCCAAGAAGCAATTATTACTGTTAAAGGCATTAGCTTGAGCAGTTATCTGGAAAGCTTGATGGCAAATACAATATCTTCTAATGCCAGAAAGGTACATCTTTATTCTGTTTTCTCCTCTCTTCCCCACCCAATAACTCTTTCTTTTGAAATAGTAATTGTCAATGGTGTGTGTTGAATGTTAAATTTAATATCTCCAGATTTTGTGTGCAGTGTTTCAGTAGGTTTTTTTATAGAACCTCAGCAACCTGTTTCTAGGAGCTAGTGCTAGTAGAAAATGTAACTTCACATTCAGCCTTTATAATGTGGATTTATCAGTTAATACCAGCATATTTTCTGTGCTGCTTTTGTAAGTTGTTCCTGTTCATATCCATCATTGGACTGTCTCCTTGCCTTTGGCTAAAAGTAATTTAGTGTAAGCAGAACCATATTCTTTGAGGAGGTGAGACTGTGCTGGCTCACCTGGGTAACGCTGCCCTGACTGCTCTGTCCTGTGCTTTTTCTATTTTGCCTGCAGCCCTGGAGCTGCTCTTTAGCACAGGCTATAGAGAGTTTATTCTTGACCACTTTGTCCTACAGTTTCTTGGGGAAGAAATGGAATTGCTAGAGAAGCATAGGCCGTGCTGCCTAACAGCAGGATGGGTGCTATTGGAGTTTGAGATTTTTTTCTGCTTTGCTGGAGGGGTTCAGCACAATGGGAATCTGGCCCAGGTAACTCCTACTATGCCAGAAATCCTGTGCTTTGGCCACCCCTTCATCCTTGTGAGGGATGCTCCTTGACCAGTGTAAGCCAAGCTGGTAGGACCAACTAGATGAGAGAGGAGAAAGCCTCCTTTGCCACCCTTCTGTGGGCTTCTCCTAAGGTGAGAGGAAAATTTGTTAAAATCATGGCATGGGGAAGGAATGATGGATCATTTCTAGACACTGAAGAGTACCTTTACCTAGCTGGGTGCTCTCTGTTTTATGGAAGGTATTTCAGTTAAATTCCAGTTCTGTTCTGATCCAGTTTCCATTTAAAAGTCTGTGTGGAGTGTATATTCTTGAAAGAGGAGCAAACCCTGGCTCACAACCAAATTTCAGGCTGGCCCAGAGGTAGCAAAGCATTGTCTAGTTGGCTCATGTGCCAGATCAAGTTAGGCACACTTAAAAATGCTGGCAAAATTCCTCTGGAGGCATTGCCTACATTTACATATCTCTTTTGAAATCAGAGAAACTGTAAATATTTCTTGGTACCTGCTGAGGTGTTGCCTGTGAGAGAGCTTAATTTCTTTTCAAGATTGTTCCGTTCTGCCATTTTCAGGGAAGGCACTGGCTTACAAGCTTCTTGCAAATCAGAAAGGTGTTCTTGTCCTGTGTATTTCACAAATACAAAGTCTCTACAGAGTTTGAACTTGGAAGGAATTTGTAATTGCTGTTACCAGCCCTCTCCTTGCTAACCAGTACCTACTGTGCTACTACTGGTTCTTCTTGCATGCTGTGCTGTGCCTCTGAACACCCCTCTTAAACTTCATGACAGTTACTGAAAAATGTTTTGTTGTTCTGAAGAAATAGGAATTATTGAGACTTTGCTCTGAGGTAGCAGTGGCAGGTGATGCATTATTATTTTTAATGACGATGAAAAAATCATTTGCTGTTTGTTGTAAATCTTTTTGTGTTACTCTAGGGGTGGGATGCTATTGAGTGGATAATTCAAAATTCTGAGAGCGCTCTAAGCTAGCAGTTCTCCACACCTGCAGTTTGTACTAACTAGTGGTAATGCCAGCATTCTCCTTCTTGGTACAGCATTTCAGCTTTCTAGCCGATATCTGCATGGACTGTTGTCACGTGGATTCCATAAATGACCCTGCATGTCTCTTTCACACACCTTGCATACAGGAATGGCAGAGCTGCTCCTTGCCCTGCAGTTGTGGAGGGTGAGCACAGGCCCAGGCTGGATCCATGAACCAGTGCTTGTGCCACTGGGCAGCCAAGGTGCTGCAGCCATGTGGCACACAGCCTTGCTTATGGCTTGAGGACTGCAGACAGCTAGGGCTGTGAGGAGTCCCTCCACTGGGTGTTTGATCTGGTCTGAGTTTCTGTGATTTCAGTATATAAAGCTGGTACCTAGAGAAATTAATATATTGGCTAGTGAGTGGAATTGGCTTTATAAAAATAAAACAGAACTGTGTTCTTAGGATATAAAATTGATTTCTTGAAACAGGTTGCCTAGCAGGGGTAATGTTTTGCGTAGTGGAATTGTATTTGCTTTTCTTCTGCCTGAGGAGTAGTGTTGCCCTTCTGAGGAAATCTGTGCAAAGCTTGAAGCTATCAGGATGCCAGACTGTTCCTGTTTTTCATTTGTCTTGTAGTTATGTTCATTTTGGTAGTGACTTGTCCCTGCAGTTATAGAACTATGAACAAATCTGAGTTCAGGGTTGAGAGAACTGAGTGTATTTGCCTCTATGAGACCTCTGTGCAGATTATTTTTCTTCCACTAGTCAGTGTAGCCTGTCCCTGTCATTCCTGTATTGGCTTCTGCTTCAACCAATCAAATTTCCTAAAAAGAAAAAGATCCATTTTGCTGCTTCTCCTAGTTAAGAAAGTTGGGCTTTTTACACTGCTTACTTTGAGATTCATGTATGCCATGAGTGCTTGCTTTTACGTTCTCATTCCACTAAGCTTTTATGGCTGTTTTTTCTGGAAAACATCAAGTACAAAGGCTCAGCACTTATCAGTCATTAAGCTCTACCAACAAATCTTCATCTGCAGCGCTTGTCCTGCCAGCCACGTCATGCTGCTGACACCTGCAATAATGAATAACACACCGTGCATGCCTGGGGATGAGTGTGCCTGCTTAATGACTGACTGCAGAACTTCTTGTACAGTATGACACTTTATAGACAGTCCTCTGTCAGATTTTTTCTCATAACTGGGTAGTTTTGTGGCACTTGGAGGCTTTGGATCTAGTTGAGATTTCTAACTTAATTTCCTGTGCAGAATGTTCCTGAAGTCTTCCTTGCCAAAATCATGAGTTTATTCTTAGCTGCAAAATATGGCATATAGTGTGTGCAAGTCTAAGGAGATATACACAGACCTATGTACTCTCAAAACCTGGAGGAAATATCTTGGTGCTCTAGTTGAATGTCATGGATTTTTAAAATTAATTTATCTCATCCACAAAGATATCAAGTAAGACACAATGATGTGATAGTTTCAAGTCAGGGCCTGAAAAGAATCTCAGTGTTTTTCTACAGATTGTTTTCTATGGCCAGGGTGTTTTACCTTCTGACAAGTCTTCTTTGAGCAATATAACAAATGTAACATCCAAGCTGTTGCTGTCTCAGTTCTGTGTGCCTGTGTCACCTCAGAGAGGATATTTAAACCTGACTTTTAAAGGTCCAAATGCCTGCTTACTGAAAGATGATTCCCCCTCCCTGCCCCCCACTTCTCCCTCAGTGAGCACTCATCTCAGTTAATTCACAGCTGATTACAACTTGTTGCTGTGGAGTAGCTGGCCCAGGTCTGGGTGCTTTTATTTGTGCTTTGCTGGCATTCCCAAGTCTTGCACAGCCTGTGGAGAGGTTGGAAATTACTCCCTTCTGAAGAACAGTCACTTTGGTGCTCAAATGGAAGGAGCTCAGAAGTTAAATCATCCCTTCTAAAGTCTTCTATCAACAACCTGTACTTAAAGTGGACAATTTCAATCGAGCTTTCTTGAACATTATTAGTATCTTTTAAAGACATCTCTGGAACTAGTTAACTTAGACATCCTAGTTCTTGAGGTAATTTGGGGTGGAGCTTAATCTTTCTTTCTGAGCCTTGACCAAGATCTGAACACTTTATTGTGATACCTGGATGACTTTTCTCAGTTTAAGGACTGCCTGCCAGTGCAGAAGTAGGAATTAGTGTTTATTCTGTGAGTCCTTGGAATATGGAAAACCCAAAGAGAAATGGAGTCATCCCTTCACTGACCTTTGTGAGTCATCTCGAGAGAGTCTTGAGATAACTGTGCTCCTATTCACAGTAAAACTTTATTTCTTTTAATATGTTACACTTTGCACTCTGGATCTGGGCTTTTCATATTATTCTAGGCTGATGTTTCTAGCCTGGCAAAAAATCCTTGAGGAGTGTGTGAGCTTTCTTCTGACATTCTTTTTTCCTTAGGTTTTCAAAGCTGCTTATGCAGATTCTTGTTCATGCTTACTAGTCTATAAAGGACAGCAGCAGGTTCTGGACACTGTGGTGTTTCTGTACACCTTTAATGAACACAACAAAATCAGCACATCACAGTTTGGCACACAACACTGTGCAGAGGAGGCTGTGCTTGTCCTTTTTGTCGATGTCTGCAGAAGGCTTGAGCACTGACAGTGGCTCTCCTGAACATTTATGACTTTTTGGGCTCAAACCTTTATCTCCAGAATTCTGAACTTGGCCAGAGCCATGTGGCTCCCACTTACTGCTCTCCACTCCTTGTATTTTTTATTCTTAGTGGAGTAATAAAGGTGAATGTCTTGTGACTTCTCTCTAAGTGAGAAAAGACCAAGTCTTCTCCTGGTCTGATCCCATCTGCTTGCTTTGACAAAAGCTGCTATTCTGAGCTTGCAGAGTTCTAAAATCTTGACTTTTGTTTAGTGAAAGTCTTTCTCTTTCTTGACTTCATTGTGCTGCTGGCTGCATCTTGTGGTCATTGGGGTGCAGCTGCTACAGAGTCTTCTTCAGGTGAAAGGTTTTTGCCAGGCTTATTGCCCTGGGTTCTCCAGCTGTTACTGAATCACTGGCTGTCAGTTCTGAGCTTGAGACATTCCCATGCCTTGATATAAAATGTGCAGCTCTCAATTAGTCTGATTTAGCTGCTGAAAAGTTGCTGTGTACAAATGTAGAATTCAGTGTGAGTCCGCTTCTGAACTCTAGATAGGTATCAGATCACTTAGCTGCTACTTCAAAGAGCACTGGAAGACTTTCATTGTCCTGGATCCTCTCAAAAACTTTCTCTGTAACTTGGCTAATAAAGCTGAGATTTTGCCATAGTATTATTTGGGTGGTGGGAGCAGCAAAGAGCAAAACCAGCAATTCTCTTAGGTAAGGAAACTTGACTGCTGAATTAGGCCTTGTGCTACTGGCAGCTCACACCAGCACTGCATTTGCTTCTGACTTAGGGGTGAAGCAAATGCCTCTGCAGTGAAGTTTCCATAAGAAGATGCTAAGAAATTATCAATATAATCTGGTATCAGACTATGCAGAGCATGGCACTGATTTTGAAACAAGGTTCATGTCTGACAGAGGAAGAACTATAGAAGCATGAGCAGTGGTGGTGTGTCTGTTGTGATCCTAAATCCTGGTGTTTTTCTGGCAGGGCCGGGATGCCCTGGAGTGGGTGATCAGCAAACTAAACACAGAACTGGAAGAGCTGAAGTCCACGCGCGAGGGGATCAAACCAGCCATGGCAGCAGCGTCCACAGAACAATAAAGCCAAATCTTTGGGTTCACCAAATAAAACCAAGTAACTGACAGAAAAGTCTTGTTCTGCAGACTGCTCTGTAGAGCTCCCTCCCAAGGCTGATCTGCAGAGGATTTGTCCATTTGTAAGAATACTGGATCAGCGGAAAAGTAACCTCATCCATCATCTCCACGCAGCTCTTGTTGCCTACTGAAGTTTAAACTGACCTCCTGCAGATGCTCTTTTCATTTGAGCAGTTTATGTTTAACACTGGAAATAAAATGTTTAGCACATTCAAAGCAGCCTAAATGTACCTTTTCAAATAAAGGTAGAGGGCATGTTATATTTACACCATCTCAAACTGAAAAGCTTGAAAAAAAAGCATGTGTGGGATTAAGGGTTTTCTGTGTGAACTTTTGTTCTGTAAAGGGCTGATAGGTCCTAGAGCACTGAATTTTGTCTGGTTTGTAATCTGATAATGTCTTGTGGCCAGTTAAAGGGAACTACATGAGTCAGAACATGATACTGTAGAATCTGATATTTATCTAGAGGATCATCTTGAAAGGCTACATCTTGTGTGGAACTAACTCTTCTTAGGTGCTGCCTGAACATGACACACAGATACTTTACCTCTTAGATGTTTGTATCCAAACAAAGATAAAGTTTCTATTGATGTTAATAGCCTAAAATAGTTTTTCTGGTGGGAAGAAGGGTATAATTTATTTTCTTATTTATTAATTTTTCCTCTTTCCTCCCCTCCCTGTGGGGACAGGGATTACTTGAAGGTGCTGGAAAATACTTGCTTATCTCTAGGAAGGGTATTTGTAGGCTGCTGGAATGAAGAGACTGTGCTGTTCCACTGGTCCTTGCTCTTCACATCACTTCTTAACTGAGGGAGAAATTGATGCAATAACCAGAAGAATTGAAATGAGAAATGAGCAGAAAGTTTTAAATCTAAATGATAAGGTTTCATAAAGAGAAACTTTTAATTTCCTGAGTGGAGGAAACAAGAGTACAAGAACCACAAATGGACTCTCATTTCTAAATGCTTTCTGTTAACTACTGACTACCAGTGTAACTGAACCTTTTCAACTCTTTTCCACGTGGGTACAAAATGGTTTTAAAATCCTTTGAAGTGCTTCTCATTATCTGGAAAAATACTCCAGTAACTGCAGAAACTTTCCTATTAAATATGCATAAATATATATTGGTGATGACTCTAGCCTTGTCTGATGTTTACAGAATTGTCATGTTTGGTCCAGATGTAATAATATGTGTTTCTCTGACAGAACCCTCTGTTAGGGCATTTTAACTTATTTCTTGGTATGCACACAAAGTGAAACAAGTGTTGCAAGGATGTTTACTTGTTCAAGTGGCAAGCATGTGCTCAGGAAGCTGTTAAAGAGCATGAGTAACTTCTGAAAAAATTAAAGAGTAAAATGTTGGTCACTGTTTTGATCTGATAATTTTAAAGTGTTTGTAACTTAAGGGAGTTTTTAGCATTCATATTCTGGTTGGTTTGAAAGTAAGCTTTAATCTGGGTGTAACTAAATTACATGATCCTAATGAATAAACCTACTTTAAAAATATGTCTATTAGTTGAAAGCAATTAAATGAATAGCAGATATTTACATTGCCTTTTTAATGTGGACTAAAGCCCTTCCTATTTTGGAACAGAAACTTAGCTTGAAGCAGCCCATGTCTGGAAAATAAGATGGATGGCTTTGGTGCAGGTCAGTTGTTGTCCCCTTTCCAGGAGTGATGTCACTTCCTGGGTGAGGAACACAGAAGATGTTCTAACTCCTGGTGTTGTTCTGCTAGGCAGGGGAGTGCGGCTATGGCAGAGCTCTGCACAAAAACAGGGAAAAGTTGGGTGGGGTGTGTCCATTTGGAAACCTGTGCTGCAGCATTTCCGTGCATGCCTGCTGGAGGGATGGAAACATGACTGTCAGCAGGGGTGGGAAAGCCTTTGGAGAGGCTCCTGTGTTACTTTGGTATGGGAGAAGAGTTGTCTAAAGCTGCTCTTTGCATCAGAAATGAAATATTTACTTAGTGTTGTCTTAGGCTGGTTGACTTGTGCATGGCACTTCCACAAAGTCACCGCAGGCTCTCTGGAGCCGAGCTCCTCTGCCACACCCTCGGGTCGGTGCCAATTACACATCAGGTTCCCGGATTACTTTCTTGACACTTTGTTTCCTTCGTGCAGGAGCTAATCCCTATCTGCTTCTTTCCCTCGCTCCTTTCTGTTTCGTTCCTCCCTGGTTTTGGGCTGCTTTCACTCCACCATTTCCTCCCACTTAGGAAGTATGTGGCTAAAGGCTTGGTTTTCCAATCTGTCTGCTGCTCCACCTGCCAGGCATCAGCAGCTTTCCTACTCGTGCTCAGTCCTCTCCTGCTTTTCTCTAGGCTAAAGGAGAGTGGGGACACTTTGGGTAGGAAAAAGACTAATTTCTTCTGGAGGCCTGTTCCTTCATTAACTCCCTCTCATCTTAGGGGTAGGTTCTGATTGTGCATCCATAGGATTGTTGATCTTCCTGTGGCTGCTCATTTTGCCAGTGTGTACAAAGGACCTTGCAGTGGGTCACACTGGAGTCAGGTAGGTGTGATGGTGTTTGCAGAGGGCCTTAGGATGAGGGAAGAGACAAGGATCTGACTCCATGTTTCAGAAGGCTTGATTTATTATTTTATGATGTATATTATATCAAAATTGTACTAAAAGAATAGAAGAAAGGATTTCATCAGAAGGCTAGCTAAGAATAGAAAAGGAATGATAACAGAGGCTTGTGACTGACTGAGACAGTCTGGACAGCTGGACTGTGATTGGCCATTAATTAGAAACAACCACATGAGACCAATCACAGATCCACCTGTTGCATTCCACAGCAGCAGATAATCACTGTTTATATTTTGTTCCTGAGGCCTCTCAGCTTCTCAGGAGAAAAAATCCTAAGGAAAGGATTTTTTCAGAAAACATCATGGCTACAGGTAGGCTCCAGTGTTCAGGAGATGAAGTCATTCTTAATTTCCCACAAGTTTTCCTGGGAAGTTTTTACCCTGTTCTCTGTCCTTATTGTTGGCATATGGGGCTTCAATCCTTCTCCCTTGGCTATGTGGCTGGTCAGATCAATGGGATCTGGTGGCATCTCTGTGCTGTGCATAACACTGATTTTGAAGCGTCTCAATTCCCATTCCAGTTCTTAGACTGTTATAGACTGAGCTGGCTCTTGAGGCAAAAAAACTTCCTGCCTTTGGAATTGTTTATTTTCATTGCTCCCTAGAGAAATTTCCCTATCTTCTCTTTCTTTACTGGAAATGGCTAAAAATTATTTCTGAAGTCGTTTTTATGTCACATGCATTGGCTGAGCCTTCTCAAAGACAGAAAGCTGCATGTGAGGGAAAGTGTTAGGCTGCTTGTGGGAGCAGCAGAGCGCAGCTTTTTGGATTGCAGCAGAAGGAGGAAAAGGGATATGTAGGAGGAAAAAATGTGTAAACCAGAAATGCTGTAAAGTCAGTGCTGATTTACTTGGAGGGATCTTGAAGGGCTGGGGACCAAGCAGAAGAAAGCTCAGAGCTTGTAACCATGTAGATTAATAGGCAGCAAGTGCCATCTTGAGTAAGAATTCTGCACTTGGAGAGTTGAAAGTGGAACTGAAGTTGGGTTTTGTGAGCTGTGAGAGGGAGGTTGTGTACAGCAGTTGTTCAAGCTGCAGTTCAATGTTTCTCAGCTGCTGGGTTGCAGTTCAAGGGTGTGATGTAGGGAGGTGGTTGGATTTTAGGAATTTGGTGCCAGCACATCAGATCTCCACGCTGGATAGAAGTGTGGCTGCTCTCCCTGTCCCCACAGCTGTGTCACACATGCCTGCTGCGGAGGGCAGGAGCTGGGAAGAGCTGGTTCCTGACTGCAGGGGGAGCAGCGAGGGCAGACAGCAGCGGTGGTTCCCAGAGCGGGGCAAACTGGGCACGGTGGTTCTTGGACCTGAAGGATTTTATGTTGAAGATCCCACACTCAAAATAGACTGGCGTCTGGTTGATGTGTAGTTGTTGTGCTGGTGCAGGCTCATGTTAGCAACAAAAGTATCGACTAAAAACATCATAATCAAATGGTCTGGTGTGTAATTAATTGGGTTTGTTTAGACTTAATTTGGCCTTGTGCCAGTGTGAGTCTTCCATGCTCCCCCATGCTTCTTATTTCTTTTCCCCCATCAGGTCAGCAGGCATGCTGGAGGAAGGGTTGTATTTGTTGGGACAACAGGCAATCCTAGTGAAGGCTCCCATATTTTTTAAAACTTTGCTTAAAGTAAGCAAAGGCATTGAGCTGCAGGGGGTGGTGTCAGAAACTGCTGCAGAGCACAAACTGGGCACTGATGTACTGACAATGTAACAACCTAGCACTGAGAAAATGACCAGCCATGTTCCTTGATGAGACACTTCCCATTCAAATCCTCAGGTGGAGCAGTGGTGGGTTGGCAACACCATTCCTGCTGCTGCGCCTCCCTAGACAGAGCTGTGTAGTGTCCATGTACCCTGTGGTGCTATCCAAAATAAATGCCATGTGCGGTTTAAAAAAATCACTTCTGGGTGTGACTGTGGTAATATCTAACACACTGTTGGTTTTCTGAGAAAGCTGCAGAAAAACAATTTCCATTAGTCTGTGCTGGGTAAGCAGCAGGATGCAGTACCAGTCTCCCTGGAGCTTGCTGTAAGCCACACCCTGCTCAAAAGCTCTGCTGGGGTCCTCTGGGCCTGGGCTGGTAACTGCATTTGGGACTGGCAGCTGCTTCATTTTGCATTAGAACAGGAAAGGCTCATCTAAAATCACTAGCCTTGACTTGTAAATAAGACTTTATTTATCTAATAAATTACCTTCTCACCCCACCAACACTACCTGCCACCTGTGAGTATCATGCAGGTTATGCACTAAGCCTTTTAATCACAGCTCCAGGGAGCAGGTCATGCTTTCACTATGGATTTGTTCAGTGAGAAGGCATTTCTGTGAAACACAAGTCCTGTCCTTTTAATTTTTCCACAACTGAGGTGACTGAGGTATGATTCTCATTTTACTGGAAGGCACCTGCAAGTGAAATGATCAGTAAGGGCTCCTAATGTGATGCCCTGCTGGTACAAAACCTTCTCTTTTACTTTGCTATAATTTTGTTTCTGACCTTGCTAAGATCTGCAGCAGCTAAAGCTCAGAGCTCTGCCTGGCCAAACAAATGTGGAACACAGCCTTGCCACATGGGCTCTGTAGGAAAGGGTGCCCGTGGTCTTTACAGTTCCTTCAAGAAAGTGAGAGCAATGCAGTAATTTTAAAGAGTTTTAATTAGTAATGCATGGACAAGAAATTGCATTTCAGTACCACATAACATGGAAACAAGCAGTAGACAGTTCTGTGGCCTTTTGCTGTTAGAGCTGATGCCCCTGGTGTCCCTGAAGATGCGCAGACAGTACATGCACAGTGACAGCACAGAAGCAGGAGGAGCTCAGAAGGGAAGGATTTGTGCTTTAGGCCTGTTCATGTCCAAAAAGTGCACCTCCTGTTTGGGATATTTTTTTTCTTTATTAAAGAAGGGGGTGAGGGAGATGGAACCAGCTTTAACAGAAATACAATTCAAAAACCCTTCTCATGATCTTCATTTTGCTTTTGAGTCACAGGTGGTGTAACCACCAGCCCTTCAAAAGGAACATGCCCACCTTAAATGTCTCAGCTGAAAATGGGCCTTGAGAGTGCTGCCTCTCTATAATCTGTGCCAGCTGAACTGGTGCTTATTTCCACTAAACTTTGGAAGCCCACCTCCTGCAGGGCTTACATCAACTCATGCTCGTGTCCTTTAATTCTAGATTTAGCAGATTTCTGAACTCAGATTTCTGAAATCCAGTTTAAAAAAATCCCACACTGTCTGGCCCAGGGCCCGTCCTGCAAAAGCCAAAGCATTGCTGGCTCCCATTTCTAAGCACTGGTGTCACTGGTTAGAGAAATGCAGAGAGGACCTGAAGCTTAGTGGAAACACCTTCAGCTGCATCAGAGGGACCAAGAATATGGTTTTTTCATACTGAGCCTCTTATGGGTTGTTTTTTTAAAAAATCAAATATATCAATAATCCTTTTTAGCTGTGAGTTTACAGTAGCAGTCTGGCACCTTGAAAAATTATCTGTTCACAAGTGTATTTTTAAATTAGCTATAGTAAGGCCTGTTCTGAAGGGGCTGTTCCAAAGATCTAGAAA